CCCAGATTAATGGCTTCCCCTTAAATCTTATACTTCATTTTGCCAATGTTATTTCAACTCCTGTGTACCAGAATAAAAATAAGTAATTTGAATATGTCAGTCTTACACTATAATTTTCTTACTTTTGCATAATTAAAGTTTCCTTTTGCATAAATAAAGCTAAACACAAATTCCATGAGCACTTATACAAACTTCTACTTGCATACAACTGGACCAGGATTAAACAATGCAGCACAACCACATGTATTTGAGGATTTATTTTTTTTTAAATTGTCTATAAAAAAAAATAGTACTGTACTAGTAGTAAGTAAAAGCACGACATGAGTATTGCAAGAAATACAATAATGCCTGCTGGCACAGAAATATATCTCTAGTGCTGTTTTGACAAAATGTCAAAATCTTCACTTGAAAAACAAATTGAATGTTTGTATATTGAGAATTAAGAGCATGCTATTATAAACTTGACAGAAACTCTCAACAGTCTATTAAAAATAGAGGCAAAAATTACTATTTATTTAAAAGCCTGGTTGAGGTTTTGATTAAGGATTGCATATTTAAAATAATGACAAAATATCATATATAACAGTATTTATAAACTATATGTGTCCACAACCCAAAGTGGTCCAGATTTTTTTTCTCCCGCATTCTTTGTTGAAGAAAAAAGGGGAAGCAATCCATAATGATCCAGTAGTACCTGTATCCTTTGTCATTATTTCTTCCTTACTCATTGTTCAGTTTTCAAACTGAAATTTGAAATCATGGTTACTTTTAATCCCACCAAAAATGAAGGAAAACATCCCAGGAGAACAACCATTATGAGAAAAGCAAAACCAGTACTGCACTTTGCCATTCCTTACTGTATCCAATTTAATTTCTTTTTTTACAAAATTTTCCATTATTTTCCTTCCTTGTATAAATATATCCTCTAGATTTACTCTTCATTTATATTTACAAAAAAGAACAAACATTAGAATACCAGAAATGTACTGCAAATATAGCTGCATCTCTTTCCATACAGGTATTAGTGAAAAGTTGCCCATATAATTTGTACTCTTTCACTTTTCCATCTCTAATTTATTGTTATGAAACATGATAAGAAAAAACTGTAAAAGTTGCTTTCCCTTTTGTAATACTAAATGTGATATAGTACTTAAGGAAAAAGAAGTTTAGTCTTTAAGAGCAAAATAGTGACCCATGCCTGAGACCAAGTTTTGTTGGCTGGCATAGCCCTTGTGAGGTTTTTAATCTGCATTGTGAAGTATGTGAGTAATATGAAAAAAAACCCAAACCTTCCAGTAATATATTAAACACATTTATTACAGAAACCAAGGAAAATTAAAGAGATTGAATCTCAAGAGCAATGCAAATCTCTCTTGTGAGAAACACTGTTTAATAAGTTATAAATACATCATCATATGAAATAGAAGGATAAATTCAGCCTTCCTAACTGAATGAAAAAAAAAATAAAAATTGCACAAATCAGGAATTTTTTATTACCAGCTGTGATGATGGAGTTAAAATATTACAAGAGAAAATTATTATGGTTTTAGAAAAGCCAGGTGTTTTGTTTTTTTTTTTATATTAACTCCTAGAAATACATGTTATGAATTTATGTTACTCTATTATATTCTATGATATTATGAATCTATGTTGCTCTAAAAAGTTTTGAGCATCAGGGTAGGCACAGTGGATGGGGGCATAACTCCATCTCTCTTGGGTAAGTTTCAACACTGGCAAATAGCTGGAAACTAAGTACGAAAACATAAAAAGGACAGACATCCATATAGCACTAATTCATCCCCAGCCTCCAGTGATCTTGTGCATCAAAAATTTCTTGCTGTCTGTGTAAATTTAATATTTGAGCTTGTCAAAGTTATGCTTGAACTGTCATAAACTTTTTGCTTCCACAACATCCTGCAACAAAGGGCTACACAGCTTACCAACATGAAACATAAAGAAATATGAAGAAATATTATTTCTTCAATAACCCCTGCATATTCTGGATTGCATAGCAAAAACTTTTTGTTCACTCTGAACCTATTTCAATGAATTTGAATATTGGAAGGGAGAACAAATATTTTCTCATTTATCTACTTCTATTCTCTTTTATAATTTTAGTTATTATTACTTCTCTTAAATACTACAGCTTAGATGAAAAAATAAGTAACTTTATGATTACATCATAAGAAAAACACAGGCTTTTGTTCACAAGAAAATAACATTAATTTGTATATCTGATTTATGGATACAAATACTATAAATCTCTGGGCAATGATTGGTTTTGTCCTGACTGTGGTACAAGAAAGTTTAAAATCCTGAAAGTGAAGAGAAAGAAGAAACACTGAGCATGGAAAATCTCAGGTTTTTCCTCAATAATCCCTGCATATTCTGGATTGCATAGCGAAAACTTTAACTAGTAACTGAGGGAAACCATAAAAGGATTATTTTATATTTGGACAAGGAATTAAACTTATTTCAAGTGAAATTATCTGAGATTTCTGAGTCTGCAAAACACTACTAAAAATGTCACAAGAGCACATAATTACTTTCTCCCTTTCATATTTTTCTTACCAGACTCTTCTGTTTCAGTTATTGGCATAAATTCATAGAAACCACCTATGTCTGTCAAATTATTCTGGTGCCTCTGTAAAGTCTAAAGGCTGTTCTGTGCTTGTCCTGGCATAGTTCATAACCACATGGATTACATGTTTTTTTTTAAATATAGAAGATGTCTAAGGATAGACAGCTGCAATTCGCAGCTGGAGCCCATCCTACTAAATGTGATGGCTCTGCACTGCTCCCCACCATCCCACATATGAAGCATTCCAGTTGTGGTAAAGAACCAGCAGCCTAACTTGAGTAGATTTGGCAAAACAGCCTACAGAAATTTATTAATTGTAGTAAAAAATTGTGTAATTTGCTCTTTTGTTCTGCGTTTTTGACCCAGCTATGAATTTCCTTCTATTGAATACACCTTCCACTTGTCCCCACTCCCCCAGCATTCCCTTTCTACACGCTGATCCCTGTTTTCTTTGAGTCCAGCCTTGCTTTTTCTTCCAAGCAGACTCTGTATGAGCTCAACTGAGGATTAGTAATAAACTTTGGCAAGAAAAAAGTACAGCCATTTACACTGTCCAAGGAGAAATGGCAAGCACAGCACTGGATTCACTGACAGGTCCTTCCTTCCCTTCTATCAGCACTGAAGGTTTGTGAAGCAGCAAAAGATTCTTGCTTAATTTCTCCTTAGGGGGCCAGCACTGGTATGTCAGCCACTTTCAACTGCTTTCATACCACTGGAGAAGCTTTGGCATCCCAGATTTAAGACTGTTGTTACACTGAACTCTAATTAGAAGTGTTCATCTCTCTCCAGTCAATACAGAAGGAGCCTAAATGGGCTTGATCCTAACTTAAATGCATAAAGAAAAAAAATGCATAAAGAAGAATGGAGACCTTTGGCCATACTTTTGCTGTTTGCAACCACATTGATGGAGATGATCTTCATCAGCTCCTTCTAATAGAGTGGTCCACCTAATATGCAGGTCCACCTAAGTGTGCCTCTGCCTCTTATGTCTCTTAAATAAGTCTCTTATGCCTCTTAAATATGCACATTTACTATAGCTTTTAGGGAGTAAATGCTATAGTAAAGATCCATGACTTTAGAAAAATACATGCAAAGATTTTGCAAAAGATTGAGACACAGATGATAGAATGATTCAATTTTAGTATCTTGATAACAACTAAAACTTTATCACCTCAGGGTTAAGAGGAACTTTATTGCTTCCAACTTAACTGCTTCCAACTTTAAAAGAAAAACAAACAAAATAACAAGAAAACGAAAGAAAAAAATTTCCAAAAAAGTGAAAAACAGGATAATTATGCAGGCATCAATATGCATCCATATCTAAATGCCACAGATCCAAAAAAGCACTCATATATTTAGAAAGATTCCTTTCTCAAATGCAGTGGACACACATGACCTTGTGTATATAAATGCATACACCTGCTGTATTTTCTTCCATACTTAATTACAGCAAATGTCTGCAATAACATTTTCTTCAGCTGCACATCCATGCAGAAAAGAAACAGAGCAAAGACAGTAAAAAAGTAGCAAATGATAGTAAAATTTAGCATTGCACATGGAAGATCAGTCGCATCAAGTGCTTCAAGAGAACTAAAACCAACCTCATCCCAAAGAAGTCCGAAACAAAACCACCTGATACCAGTGACAAATCATAACTGCTCCTTCCTGTATTACTGAGAAACACATCCACAGCCTTGGACAGACTTCATACTTCAGCCATCTACTAATGACTGACATGATTGCTCTGTTAAAAAATGGATTTAAACTTTTTTTTTAATAATGAGAAAAGTATTTTTCACCCCTCATTTCCAAAAACAGCTGGAGCAGTTTGGCATAAATGTTCAAAAAATATCTCGACTAGTAAAGGACTGCCAAATTCCACCAAGAAAGGTAAAATGACTAGGAAAAAGAATAAGCCACTGAAAATCTTTTCTTAAAATGGAAACACTTGTGCAATTTCAACTCTCCATTGAAAGCATTATTATGTCCTCTGAAACAAAGAACTCAAAAGCTCTCTTTTAAGTAGAGAGTTGGGTTATGGTTTGAAGGCCTCTTGATTTCAGTCTTATTAAGAAAAATCAAAGAGGTTTATCTTAACTAATACAGAGATTAAAAGCCCCAGGTTCTTGTTTATCGTAAAGACTTATCCCTTTCCTGCAATTTTTAACACAAACACTTTACAAATAAATACAAACAACTTGTATTCCAGATAAGCTTTAAAACTTCTACTTATCTTTTTTTCCCTTTAGTCCATATTCTGTTAAAATCTGTCCAAGATATGTCACAGGCTCAGGATTAAGAAATAATAATGAAAAAAAAAAAATAAATCAACAACTACACCAAAAAAAAAAATCCAATTCAATCCCCTTTCAACTTACAAAAACGTGCCTCATAGGGACCATAAAATCCATGTAATTACCTGCTGCAGGATCTGTAACTGCTTGACTGGTGATGCCAGATGGTGGTTCTTGAAGCTGGTATGTTGCATTTGTGGAGGGTGTCGTGGGGCTGGTGTTGCTGTTTGTCATGTAATGTGAAGGATATGGTGAGCTATTATAATACTGTGCGTATTGGCCCTGGCCAAAACTGGGATAAGAGGGATATTCCTGCAAAACAAAAAAGCAACTGAATAATCCATCAAAGCTTTGCTACTTTTTAGTATAAATTCCAAAATATAACTACAAACACATGTCAGACTTTGAGTATGTATGCTTCCTGGACCTAAAACTGTGAGGCAATAAAATAAAGTCTAAATTACACATAATTTAGTATGCCTTCTCATATAATTAGTTTAGTAGGCACATTGCTGAAGATGTGTGAATAAGAATGTCAACCTCAAGACAATTAGTTCTAGTATGGAAGATGACAGATTGAAGGAAAACATTTATAAACTTTAGTTTAAAAATAAAGGATGACAATTTCTTTCAACAAGATATTTAAGGGCTGCATGTTTGTAGTGGATGAGAATTCTAAGTTTGCCAAAGTTTGCTGAACTCATATTTACAAATTTACCTGCTGTGAACTATTAAATCCAGTAGAGTTTGTGAGTGAATTATTTCCTGCATATATTCCTGATGATGTTGTAAAACTGCTGCCTGAAATGAAATGAAAAATTATGTGAATTACTAAAACCAAGTATTGGAAAATAACTTCTATCACACGATTATATCATAACATTATGGCATATTTGTAATATTTCCCATATGTTGACCGATTCAGCTCTATATAACACGTTAATACATAGAAAGTGATAATTCATAGTTCTTACACTCTGTGTTTCATTATTGCATTAAAAAAAAAAACAAACCCTTGAAACGTAGACTGGAATTTTGGACCCACCTCAGCTCTGATTGAAAATTAGGTGTTTGTGCCCCTCTGAATAACAAATAACACCCTGCACTGTGGAAGTAATGAGGGTTTCTTTACACTCTTTACTTTTTTTTATTATTATTTTTTCCTTTTAACAATAAGGGCAAGCCTTGTTCTGGGAGACACCATCTCCTCTCATGAAAGCCTGGTGGCTCTGTTTCTCCTCCCACCTTTGAGAACTGTGTCCTCTCCCCTCCCTGAGCCTCAGCCCCTCACAGGAGCAGCAAAAGCCATAAGTCCCTGCTCTGAACAGCTCAGTCTGACTGCAAAGCCATTAGGACTCACTGATCGATCAGAGACAGCCTTGGGCTGCAAACCTTTCCTCTTTTGACAGTGTACTGGGCATGACACAAGAGAAAAAATGTACCTCTCTGAGAAGGGAGGCCCAAGATGGAATTTAGCCCAGAGACTGAATTACTGCCTTCATCTCCCTCCTCCAGCTTTCATGAGTCACCAAAATAGACAGATGGGTCTCTCGTTTAATACCCAACCTGAGAAGCTGTTCCACTAAAAGGGCAGCCACCCCCTTTCAGCTGTTTTGCCTTGCTGGTTATAACCCAGGAGTGACACAGGCACCAGCTGAGACATATGGATGCACAGGGTGAAGCTACATAAGCCACCACAAAGTCTGTAATGAGGCAACCTCTTGAACTCGTCCAGCAGGAGAGCACCAGGCAGCGCAGGTTATTAAAGTGCACAGGTTGTTTACAGCCTCCCTCACCATCAAAATCTGCCTCAGTGCAAAGGTGTACAGAGACCTTAGGAGCAAAACTTGCAGGTGAGCAAAGGAGACAAGGAAGGATGAAAATCACCAGGGAGCCAGGCACACAGATGCACCAATCCTCCGATGTACCCGACACAACTCAATTAACAATCAAATCCAAGAAGAGGTTGCTCACTGGGAGAAGTGACATTTCTTGCAACTCCAAAGAGGACAGAATGCAGGCTGGGGTCCATACTTATTACAACCCCTGAAGGACATTTGTAAGCTATTTACTTTTCTTAAAAAAATACCATACCAATAGGTATTGTAGCTGTGAGAAGTCAGAAGGAAAAATATTTAAATGTTATGACTAAAATGTTACTAAAAGCACATACAAGCTAATCCCCAAAGAAGTAGAAAAGAAGTTCAACAGCAGTGGGAGTAAAGGATGAAGTTTAAACTTAACATATGAAATGACTGTAAACATTTCTTTCTTCTACTAGTGCAAAATCTCTGACTGTTGATAGATGCTACTAATCCTGTGAACTAAAATCAGATTACTTCAGCCGAAGAGTTGACATCCAAGTTTAGCAGATAGTACAGATAAACAGTACTAATGAGAAAAACATGTTGTTTTAAATTTAATTTGAAATTGGAAAACAGATGTTATTTTTTTAATTGTAACAAACAAGAAAGCCAAAATACAGCTGAAAAATATTTTAAATTGAAAAACTTTGTAATGATATTTTATTTCTAATAGTGCTCTGGCTGGAAGAATGTAAGTCACTGTGTCTCTTATTTCTGTAGGGTCTTTTTGAATGATGCAGTAATACATTCAAACCCAGGTTTTAAAGGTGCACAGTTTGAGCCACTCAAAAAAAATATAAAAGGCCCCTCATAGTTATAAGTAGAAAAAACTCCAGACTTTGTTTGAGGAATACATTATCTTTCCTCAGAAAGCTTGGAAAATAATTTGCAAGAGCAAATGATTAAAGTAATTACATGCCAGCCAGCATCTCTCCCCCTCAGACAAAGACACACACACACTCTAACACGCAGATCTCTTTCATCTCATGGTCAGCACTGGGTTCTATGGAGGAGGGGTAAGGGTCTCCTAGACCGTAACAAACATGAAGCAGGTTTCTCAAAAACAGCTCTGTGGGCCACCCAGAACTACAGGCCTGAAGTTGTTTTTAAAATACTCATGATTTTGCAAATTGTTTTTTTAAATATTCAGCCATAACATGGCATAGAGCCGCTATCCTGCCTTAGCTGAACAAACACAAAAATGAGAATCACTACAAAACATGCGAGATTTACTGCCCTAAGTTGGCTGGCTACATGGCTTTAAAATGTGATAAAAGCTGTAAATTGCAGGTCAAAGGTCTATTTTGCAAAGAGCTCTGACCCACATTAAAGCTGGGAATCCCAGTCAGCATCGGAAGGCGGCCGGACCCTGCTGGGACTAGGGCGCGCTCCAGGCGTGGGGCTCGCCCTGTGTCACCGCAGGCATGGGATAAGGTCCTCCCCCATGTACTGGCCACAGAAGCCCATTTGCTTTCCTAGCTCAGTCTCCTTGCCATGGGCTATGTCTATCATCAGGGTACAATGTATGTGGCAGAAGTTTAGTGCAGCTCTCTTGGGAAAGCTTTAGACGGCCAGATGGGCTATTTAAACTCAAGGTTTCTTCCGTTTGCTCACAGTGTTTAAAAATCCTTGGCAAACTCCCCCTTGTTGTCCTAGTAACTGCTTAGCCATCCAGCACAATATTTTTATACTGTATAATAATAACCAAATACCTTAACGTTTACTTTTTTACGGCTGAATTCCCAAACCAATCAGATAGTTATTCTCTATCATCACAGCCCTGGTAACTAAAACAAAGCTAGTGCTCATCACAGGTCTAGCACCCTTCCAGTGGTAGGGTACTCAGGGGTGGGGGTAAAACCCGTGCTTTTTATCACAATCAAAGGAGACTCAAATAAGACATTTGCAAATGGAGTTCTCCCCTTGCTGCTCCCCCCAGCCCTTCTCCACTCCATTTATCCTCACTGTGCAATCCTTATTAGTCTGCCAATATAGGAGCAACGGCCCATTCCCACAGCCATTAGTCATGTAAGTGGTCTTTCAACATCTATGAAGCAACTTATATGAAAAACAGCTTAAGGAACACACTCGTTAAATAAAGTAAAGGGTGGGGGAGGAGAGTGGGGAGATGGGTGGCAGAATCTCCTGTGTCTTCTTCTCACCCTCTCCCCTATGCTCCCTCCCCTTACTGAGATTATAAATTTGTGACAAACAAAAATCCAATTACCAGAATAAACTTAGCAAAAGAGTCACAGGCAGCAATTCTCCCCATAATTTTCATAAGTTGGCAGCCTCTCTCCCTACTATTGTTCGGTGACTAATGGCGCTGTAATTTTAGCAGGGTCAGGAAAAGCACTGGGTTTAATTGGCCGCACACGCACCACGAGGCAGCGTCTCTACATTGCAGGGAGACATTCATCCCAGGGAGAGGAACCAGAATTAACTCCAAAGCTCTGGAGTGCAAGGTAACCCCAGTCAGGGAACATGAGCAGGACAACTGCAAGGCCGCTAGGAAATCCCCTTTGCTGCAGGCAGGAATGCCAGCAGGGCCCCGAGCGCGCTGTCATGTAATGCTCCGTGGTGAAGTAGGTTGTGGGATCCATTATCTCCATTTAGCAGCTCAGCAGCTGCACGCAGGAGATGGAGAACAGCTATTGCAGGCTATGACAAGGCAGAGGCTGCAGCCTGCCCATATACTGCTAGAGAGAAAAGGGAGAATAAACTCATTTTCCTCTCTGGAGGTCTCTGCACAAACAACTGAACAGCAGCAGCACTAATCCCGTCTTCTGTCATAAGAATCAATTTTGTCCTTAAATAATAGTTGAAACTATGAATAGGTTCTCCTTCCAAAATTAAATTAGCAAAGGGAAACAAATGTTCCTGTTTACTTTTAACAGCTGTTAATTCTTCCTTTCAATCAAAAGGAAGAATTAAGTCAATTTTGAGTTGTTTCAAATACAAAAGTTTACTTAATTAAAATATTACAAAGACATATATTCTCAAGTATAGTATAGACATATATTGTCAAACATTTAACTGCAAGAAAGACCTGTTTAGCAATGTGATTCTTTTCTACTTAGCAACTAACAATTCCACCAGCCCTTTCATTTGAAATACTCTCCTTATCTCCATTCCTACAGTTTCTAAGGTTTCTGTAGAAGACCAGTGCTTCCCTCACCCACACATTGTGCTGCTTATGAGCACAACAGGAAGGACATACACACCACAGGGACCTTCCAACTCGTGGCTCTTCTGCCCAAGCCAGGCTGTCAGTGATCCACTGACTCCCACAGGTGGGCAGGTCTCAGCCCAAGCACAGCACAGCTAGAGCAGAACGCAGGCTCTAGCCTGCAAGGGAGGAGATCCCCTCCTCCCTAAGCCCTGCAGACAATTCCATAATTAAATCAATGCTTCTGATCCTTTTCTTATTAGAGCTTCACAACTGGGTCATCTTTAACATATTTCTTTTTGCAGAATATTTTAAGATCCTTGCCTCTCAAAGTATACTGAAATACTTTCTGAGATCTTACTATTCAATCTCTTGACAACTGTCACTCTTTGCTGAACAATTCTGATCTTATACAAATTTTGCATATAACAAAAAAAAAAAAAAAAAAGCAATACCCATTATGGCAGACTCTGTGCAGTCTATTGACAGAGTCCTAGCTTTGCACTACTAATGCCAGCATTCACATTACTTACAGCATTCACTTAAAATTTTCCAAGCACTCTCTACACTCTCTACATTATCCTATGCTGCTCCCTCTTCCCTCCCTCTATTAAATGAGTTTCCCATAGACATCTGCAAAACTATTTCCCTGTCCTGCCTAAAATCCCTTTTTATTGACATCCCTCTGCTCAATATCTTACAAAAAAACCACCTTTAGAGCCCTTAAATAACCAGTATGGGATGCCAACTGTTTATTATACATAAATAGTGTCAGCTTTATTGTTTCATTAGGCTCTTCTAGCCAGTGTGTTTAATTTTAGCTTCCAACTTCTGTGGGGCACTGTATTTTTATTTGCCTGTAGAAGTTAACACAACAGCATCCCAGTATATGACTGTGGCATGAAGGCACTACTGCAATAGAAATTATAGGCAGCACAGACATGATTTTTCAATAACACTACTTCCTAGCAACCGTGAATTATCAGTTCCTTAAAAGCTGAAATGTCGATTTCAGAAGTTAATTTTAGCCACAGCTAGCAAGTATTTTGAGCTCTCTCCTACAGAGAAGTAGGATTTTTTGTAGGGGGAGATGGGTGTGGAGGTGTGTTTGTTGTCTGAGGTTTTTTTGTGTAGCTGCCTGCAGAAAGCAAAACCAGTGACCGTGCTTGGTTATATTTACTCTGATGTGGAGAAGATCATCACTATTCAGCATGCAGATGAAAATCCATCTGCTTCTCTGGTCCTGTCCCTCTTCTTTGTCAGAGCACACTATAAGTCAGCAATATTTCAGATGTCAGATGGTCACTTCTGCCCTGTGGCACTACACAACACGCAGTTCAAAAGAAGATTAAAAAAAATGCAACAAAAAACATCTCTCTTGTGCCTGAGCAGGACTGGATCAATATATCTTTAAAGCTGTGGAACAAAAGCAAAATCTTATCCACTTAGTCTCTGAAAGTACTTCTGCCTCAAGACATTTTATGGAGTGTTTACTTGGTGGCACACAGTTTAGACTGAGCTTAATAATATAAAAAGGAGCTAAACTTCTAAAAAAATGTGTTCTATTTCTGTGATTGATGACTTATTTCAATAATTCCAAAATCTGCAACACACCTGATGTATACTGCCAAATTCAGAGGTGAAAAGGCCTGCAGCAGACATCCCAAATTAGCTATTTCTGGTAAACAAAGATTTTTTAAAATATCCATTAAGTGGTGAACAATCCAGAGCCAGGCACACCCAGTGGCTTCTCAATACAGAGAAGGGAAAAGGAATTGGGAGAAGAAGGTGGAAAGACTTTAAGTAAACTAAACAGGCAACTACAGCTACAAAATATAATTGATAATAATAGCCTGCACATACAAAGACTTACAGCTTTTAAACAGACATCAAAGAAACAGACTTCAATCATTACTTAGCTACCTCCACAGCTGCAGTAGGTATTTTTATCTTCTCCCTCTTCGAACACACTCAGGTGTCAAATTATATTTGGCACTTCCTAAATTCATAATCCTGTCACGTTTTACAGGACTAGCTTTGTCTCATTCACTATTTGCTAAACTACTGCTATTCAGGGATGCATTTTTTACTGTAATAACAGTAGAACACGATTTAAAATTAAATGAAGGAAGGGATCTTCCAGACTGCTGAGAGCTAGCCTGTCGCTCTCTCATCAAAGACAGTCATCATTTCATCTCCAACTGCAATAAAATGAGAGTTAAATGCTCCAGCAAACATTCATTTTCATTCTATTTAGCAAAATTTAGCAAAATAAGGAGGAAAAACTCCCACAACAGCAGCAGCTATATCGAATTAATGGTAATATCTGTTTATACAGACCTTGCATCTGGTAGCTATAGGGAGCTTGTCCAGGTTGAGGTGTGCTAAAGCTGGCACCGTAGCTTAGAAATCCTGTCTGTCCAGGTGACTGTGACTGTGCCAATCCACCTTCTGTCTTGATGCCTGCCCACAATGCACCTAAATCAGTTAGTGACAGCAAATCTATTTGTTCATATTCAAACACGGATGGAAAATAAAATCACTTAATTAACAGCCATTTTAACATACACCTACTATTGCCTGAGAGAATGAATATTAAGAGCATGCACAAATTAATAGGGTAAGGGCAGTCTAAAAGCACACTGAAAACTAAAGTTCACCAGGGAGAAGTTAAATTCAAAACTGTGTTTCCAATAACTGCAAAAGAAATTTATACATGAACAGGAAGTTGCATTATTCCTTTTTTCCTTTCCTGCCAGAGGCAAACTTTTCCATATATTCATGACATTACACAGAGGTAGATTAGCAACTTTATATGAATTTAATGAAGCATAGCATAGCCAAGCTCTCCTACCATCTACCCATTAACGACATAACTGAGAATTGCACTGTATATCATGTATATCATTCCTATATGAAAATTACACAGGTCCAAGAATGTTTTTTTAAAGAATTAGAAGTGGATAAAGGGAACAAGCAGTATTAAGTGCAATTATGATTTTTCAAAGGTAATTAAACACTAATTCAGTTCTTAACAAATAAGCATCTAAGAGGCAGGAACTATTCCTGAAGCAATCTCTTGAACTGGGGAAAACATAGCAGAGTCATTAATCTGCACTGACAGAGAAATCCATTACACACCACATTACTCTCTCATTTCTAAATTTAGCTATAAAAGAATCCAAAGTCTGATCAATGAGTGACTTGCTGCCCAGTTTCTGTGATTCTTCCCTCAATTTGTAAGGCAACGAGCAAGCAAATATCAGCAAGCAAAATACTGAGGAAATGCACACAATTCAGCTTCTGTCTCTTAGTTTTAATTATAAGGTTGTCCCAACATGAACTACCATTTAAAAATAATTATAGCCAAAGTAATGGAAAAGTGATACAATATTCTTAGGTTTCACTGTGGCATTCTGTGATACCTCATTGTTCAGAAACCAATATTTGAACTGAATTAACTAAGTGTGAATTACTAACATTCCTTTGAAAATTACTGCTAATCTAAATCCATTTCCTAGTTGGATTTTTCTTTAGACAATATTCAACAATGTTTCAAGGTAGGAGAAGACTCAGAAGTTACTGTGTTGGCAAAACTTCAATACCTCCCTATATACAAATGGCAGCGTATTTTCTAACATCTAAGTAATTCTTTCTCAACTGTTGTCATTAATTAACCTTAATTCCTTCTGCCAGACCTTCTAACTGCCGAGCTAAACCTGTTTGCTTGTTTTTCCCTGATGCTTACTTGATTCTTCTGTTTCATGTTACAATTAAGCAGTTCGAATGACAAATCTTGACACCTCATTTCCAAGGGGAAACGCCTGCTATGGATGGTTTGGTATCAACAATCCCTATTTGTTGTCTGTTTAAGGACTTCTGAAATGCTGATTAAATACAGCTTAGAGAAAGTTTAACTAAATCAATTAAGCATTAAATTCCTAGTCTAAATTTCCTTTAACAGCCTGATCCTACTGTCCATCTCAGACGGAGCAGGAGGAGATGATCAAAAGCAGGAGGAGGAGGATGCCACTTGAGTGAAGACAACTTGGCACTGACACACCCTTTTGCAAACCTCCATGCTATTGAAGAGCCTTTCATCTCCTGGGACTTACCCTCACGCTTGCTCTCATCCAGAAAGCCTTCACTCATCAAACCTTGGTGCTCCCTTCCCCCAAGTCTAATGTACTCAAGGAAGTGGGAAGGGACAGTGACACAAGAGGACTGCCAGGAGCTTCAAAGTAAAGAAGTTGGTAAGCAAAGCCTTTGCTAGATGCTGGTGCTGGAGCAAGCAGGAGGAAAGATCTCCAGGAAATTCTCCAGCCTCCTCAGGGGCTTTACAGATGAAGCAGAGCCAGCAGCCCCAGGGCAACAGCTGTCAATGGCATTCCCCTCCACCCCCCTTCCTGCCTGCATGGCTGTGGAGGTGGGGAACTGGAAAAATGAAGAGGCTAGTGGTACAGTTGAGACAGCACCTTCCTAAACTCTACTCTAGAGAGAAAACTTGAGACAGGCTGATACAGGAACTCATGAATACTCTTTCTTCCAGCAGACCCAGAGTAAAGAAACAAAAAGAAAGAGGCCTCAACTCAGTTTTTCCTTTCGCATAGGAGTAAGTCTTCTCCCTTTATACTGCTGTAAGGTTTCTGCCTGGGTAAAAGAAAGGCAAGACAGAGGGTATATGGGGTCTAAACTGCAGACCAAAGAGCAGAATTTTGGCTCTAAGCAAAGCTTCAGTTCTTGCCTATTGCAAATTAGTGCCCAATTTCATTTGGGAGCAAAGATTATATGGCATGTCTTAAATATGCAAAAATATATGTTAAATCACAAAACTTTTAATAGTTATTTGCCTTTAAATATTACTTCTTTAAAGGACATCAGCAAGGACCACCATAGCACAAGCCACATGTCACAAATCTGAAAAGAACAAAACATGTCAAAATTCTCTTGGCTCAGGAGCTGAGGATTTCAGTGGTCAAAAGTAGCTCTGCAATGTAAAACATTGCAAATTTATCTGAAGTCCTAGGCACGGGGGATGGACTAGGCAAAAAACCAAAGCATAACAAAAGAGCAGGCAAGCATGTTAACCCCTACAAGCAGTTGCCAAGTAAAGCAACTCTCAATTACAGCTCTGATGACAGTGAGACAGCTAAACTCAAGCAGTGAAATCAAGGCCTGGCTGAAGTCAGTGGGAATTTTAGAGTTGACTTCAGTGAGATCAGGATTTAATCCAGACGAACCAAGCAAAAACCAAAAAAGTCACTGTTTGGGCTGCCCAAGCCTAGTCTGACAGTCAGCTAAGTATGAACACGAGGTGTCCACAGGAGAAAGTTTAAAATATATGCATTCAAACTGAAAGTGAAACATCCAATTTATACTTAAAAGCCTATTATAAAGTAAGGGGAAATAATAATATTGTTCTTTTATCTACTGTTCACCATAATCTGCCACAGGATATCCTTGAGATCCAGTAGATTTTCAACTTGAAGACTTCAAAATGAAAGATTCGCTCGTTTTGCACTTAAAACTTTTAACAATTTTAAAGTGAACAGCTTGTATGGTAAATTCTGTCCTTTTGGTATAAAACTTAAATTATCTGAACATATTTTTACAAAATATACTGCTCAAAGCATGTGGATTGTATATTTTTAATATATTCCTCCAGAGGAATATAAGACCTATTTTCTAATAATGCATCCTTGCTGCTGCACTGCTACATGGTCTGCCAGCAGACAGTCTGGCAGGAAAATGGTCTCACCCATGGCAGCTTGTTTTTAAATTAAATTTTTTGGGAAATATTTGCTACTTAGTACTATCTTTGTCATCAGGCAGACAGAGCTTTACTGGCAATTTACCTCAATTTTCACCTCCAGGGAGTTTTAAAACATTGGAAAGTGAGGGTTTTTTTTTTGATGGAGGCATTTTTGAATCAGTTTTTCTGCCTGCTGGAAATCAGCACAGCCTCACAGATTCATCTGGGTTCTAGTAATCTGTATCAGCTGAAATTCAGACTTTTACATCCCAACGTAACCTCACGCACTGCTGGGGAGCAGAGCCCTGAGCAGGTCACCAGCAGCTGGGCCTGTGTCATGGAAGCCCTGAGATCTCTTTTCCCATTTCCCTGCTGTATTTTTGATTTCACGCACAAAAAGCTAATGAATCTCTCCTACTGATCCCAAAATGGGTTAATCTTGAGCAGCTTTTTAGCTCTTTAATACATAAAGTAAGCGTCACTCATTCCAAGGTGGGAAAATTAACAGTCCTCCACAAGAAATGCCCCAGAGCACAGCTGTCCCACTAAGTACTAACCTAAGAGTCACGCAATCTTGATCTAAAAAACCATTTACCTCAGGAATGAACTATCATGGCTGTGATTTCTTACCATAGGAAGGGATTCCGTAGGGTTGGCCGGGCTGGGGGTAAGTGGCATAGGCTGTAGCTTGTTGCATTCCCGTTGTAAACTGTGTCTGCCCATACGCAGCCATCGTTTGTGAAGATGGGGTAGGAAGAATATGTGGGTAGGGTCTGCTATTGATTACAAATGACAGAAAACAGGACAGACACTGCATCAGACAGACATATGTGTACTCATTTTTAGCCTTATTATAATCCTGCTGCTTCATTAACACATAATGATAGGCTGTGCTAGACAACAGAAACTTTAAGAGACAAAACAATAAGAAATCAGAAATAAAATAATAAGTGAAATAAGAACTTTACAAATACTTTTCAAATACATTCTTAGCATTTAAAAAAAAAAAAAAATTTCCCTAGAAGCTGCTGCGGTTTAAATTATGGCTTAACAGATGGACTCAATTATTATTTTAAATGAGGTTAAAATCTGCCTATTCCAGTTATTATTATTACTACTACTATTATTATTTTAAAAAGATATCATACTTGGAAGGGTAAATCTGTGGTGGGGAGAACTGGTGTGTTTGTCTTGGGCTGAAACCACTGCTTCCAATTGCTGCACCAAGGAGAAAAGAAAGCATACAGAAGTGTAAATACACACACCAAAGATAAATATTATTTTTCCTAATAGAATTTCAGAGTATTAACAAGATTTTAATTAAATTCAAATATCATTGATACCTTAGATAGAAAATAATATTTTATGAGGATCTATACAGGAATGCTCAACATTAAAATCTTGATTGCAAATCTCAAACACTAAATTGCCCCTCTGTACAATTCCTGAGCCGTAGTTTATTCTTTGTTTGCACAGAGGCAACATTTTCTATACAAACAACCTATTTCCTAATGGAAACATTTCCCTTCATATTTTCAAAGAATTGTTGATATCTCAAGTGCAACATTTTATTAACTTTTAGAATTTTTAAGACCTACATTTTATGAAGGAGCTTTATGCCTGCTTCGATTGAAAACATATGGCCCGCTTCAGAGCACGCGCCTCTTTTTATAAAAAAAGATAAAAAAATCGTAATACAGACTGTGTATTACCTTATTACTTTTCTATTTTCCATCTTATCTGCTGTCTAAGAAGCCCTTCAAATCAGTATTACATAAGGATGTCCAAGGTGCAGTTAGTGAAATGTGTAAGGAGGAGGCTGTGCTGTGTGCCGCTCCCCGAGCAGCCCCAGCAGCGCTGCTGTGCGGAGCCCCCACCAACACAGCTCGTTTCTGTCAGCATTTCTGGGTGCTGCCCGGCAGCTCTGCTGGCCCACTCTGCTCAGGGCGATATTTTTGGGAGCCCTTCCCTCTCTGGTTACTGTCTGGGTGTCACTTCTCCTCTAGGTCCCAAGGTGGGCTTGGAAGCCTTTGCCAAGAAGAGGTCAGCAGCGGGTTATGAGACTACTGTAAAATCAGACAGCCCGAGAAACAACAGGCCTTATTGCTAAGTACTTGGAAATAAACTAGGCACGCTTAATTACCCCTCGCCAGCTACCCCCTTCCTGGCCAGCTACAGGGAAAATCCATCATCTTTACACTCTGGGAGGGAGGCAGGGAGCCTCTTTCTGTGCTTTCTACACCAAATAATTTTTCTTTTCTGTGGCCTGTGAGGCTGCAGACATGGCAAATGTTACAGTCCAACCTTTATTCAGATCACCACAGCTGTACGTAGCTTTTTATGTTGTATGTATTAGGTACACACTGTATTTTCTTCTTTCAGAGAATTATAATACATTAGAAATCTTTTTTGGGGCTTTCATACCCAACAGCCTGTGCATGCCTGTGGCTGGAGGCTGTGACAAGACCAGGAAAGGGCTGGCTACCAGGAATCTTACTGGTTGTGAGATGTCAAATTTTGCTACTACGGAAATGTAATCCCACAATATATTATTAGATCCTTTTTTGATTTGATTTGCACCATAAAACCAATGTGCTAGAAATACCACAGTTAGTCCACAGGTGTGCAAAACTGAGCAAACACCTTAGGTTGTTCTCACAGTATTTGTCTGTATGTCTGTAGTCATGTCTATGTCACAGTATTCTGTATGCCAGAAGCTAAGAGGAATTTGGCTTCCTCTAAGAAAAGAAGCCTGACAATGAATACTTTGGAAAAATAAATTACAATAAGTGAGGAAGACCTACCCCTCAATTAGAATAATAATCACAGAGGCATGTGTGTTTACTCACAGAAAACAAAAATTACTCTGGGCCAGAATACTCCCGAGTGAGACTCCCACCAAAGACACCAATGGACATTAATAAGCCTGATACTGTAATGCTCCTTACTTGGGGAAAACTCCTGTTGACTCAGACTAAAATGAACAGAAATAGGCATAAGCTGGAAAGTACAAAAGGCTTTTTAAGAGAGATGCACAAGTTTAGACCACGTGGGATAAGAAAACAATAAATGAAAAAAAATGCTGAGCTTAAAACTTTTGTTTATTCCTTACCTGATCCTGAGAAATTGTCTAAAGACCCGTCTGTGGTAGTAGTAGTAGCGATCTCACTGCTGTTCATTGGTTCTGTTTTAACTATAGAAATATAAACAGAAGATATTCTATATGCTCCTAATATTCTTGCAGGCGCATGCACACACGCTCACTACAAACACAAACTCAATAAAACAAAAATCTGACAAAAATGTTCTAAATCATGGCTATCAATATTTTGCATTTTATGTATTTGTGTATACAAACAATGCAAAATACTGGCAGCTATGATTTACACACAAATATAAGATGGTCAAGAGGGTTATTCCTGTCTCCAAGGAATAAGGGTCACTGTAACAAACCAGAAGTCCCCATGCAACTCTCTGCACCTGTCCTGATTCCTCTTAATCCTGCAGACCCAACAATAAGGATCCACATTTAGATCAGGTCACACAGTATTTACAGGTTTGAAAGACAGCAAATTGAGTAAGACAAAACAGGAAATTATTTTTAAATGGTTTTCTCTGAGGGCTGTTCAAATTTTGTTTCAAATTAAGTAATTTTTCAGAGGAAAATTAAGAATTTGTGATGAAGTAAAACACTTTTCTCGCGGTGGATTTCTCCTCTCAAAATGAAAACCAACTTTATAGTCAACAACCCTAAATAAAAAAAGAGGACACAGTCCTCACCAAATACTTCAAAGAATGCTTTTACATCTTATCCCTCTGCACCCACAACATAATGCAGCTGTCTGAGAGTAAAAAAGAAAGAGACCAAGACATTATTGCCTGGCTCATGCTGATTCATAATTAATAATCAATTAATGACTTTTAATAAAACCTCAAGTAAATAAACAATTTCCCTTTCTGTCAGTCCAGTGCAAAGTCTGTAATGTTAAGATCAGGGCAGTATCCTGATCCAAAGAGCAAAGACAGGGCTGACTTGGCACGGATGCAAAATAGGCACCAACAACTACTCCCTATATAGTTTGTCCATACATGTATGTTCAGGAATTATAACCACTATCTGCAACCTTTGGTACCAAGTTTGGAAAGGCTGAGGCAGAGGCAGAAAAAGACCCTTCCTTTCATTGCCAGTCCACGTTCCTATTTCTCCATGTCTATTTCCTTCACCAAGCCTTTGTGGGATTTGTAAGAAATCTCACAAGATTTTTCTAATCATCCATTATTTTCTCTTGACTCATGCAGGATTTCTGTCTGCTAACTTGTGAGGTCAACGCTTAGCTGCACACAAAACTCTGCTGTGTCTGCATTAACAAGCAATGCACTCCATTTAGGAAAGTTTCATGAAGTGAAATGGTTGGGGTAAAGGGCCCAGTGTCCAGAGGCTGGGCATTTTTGAGAGCAGTTATTCAGCTTGAAAACATTAGCTGCACTTCTGCAAAGCAGCTTTTTTGAAGCAAGTGAAGTCCAAGAGACTCCCTAAGGGGAATTAATGTGGTAAGACAAGGTGGCCACGAGGTTCACTCCAAAAGTGAGCTCATGATCTGAATCATAACTCAAATACAAAGGTATTTCTTAAAAACACAGCATGTAAGTTATTCACCATCGATTTAATGACTAAATACTGTCTAACACACAGATCCAATGAAATATTTATTGCAAAGTGTCTATCACAAGTACTTTTTCAGAAACTACCAGACTTTTACAGCATGTTCTATAGTTTGTCAATCTAGATATGAAAAACTATAGCATCTGCCTTATCTTCTGCTTTTTCTTAGAAAGCTATCATGGCTACATTTTACAGTCAGACTCATACTTCTCTCATAGACTACTCCAAGTTTCCCAAAAATCTGGAAGTCTTCCAAACCTAATTTCCATAATGCAATTATACATTTGGGAATAATAATAAAAGATGCTTTCCTCTATAGCTGGTGTCTGTGGTGTGGGAAAAGAGAGGAAGATAAGACAGATGAGCCTAACCTGGAGTAAAGGGTGGAAGTTTTCAGTATGTGCTTTCTCAAAATTCTTCCTCTACTCTGTTGGAGAAACAATATTCCACATTCTGTTTTTGGATCACTGCAAATTAGAAGTCTGAGGACTACACTGAACTGCTTCACACAACATAGAGAAGTATAGTGTCAACTGTTCTAGATAAAAAGCAGCCCTTCTGAAAAGGACTTGGGATTTCTGGTGGATGAGAAGTCAGGTGAGAGCTGGAAATGTTCATTTGCAGCCCAGGAAGCCAAACTGCATCCTGGGCTGCATCAAAAGCAGAATGGCTAGCAGGGCAAAGGAGGGGATTTTGCCCCCTGCTCTGTTCTCTGAGACACTGCCAGGAGTGCTGAATACAGCACAGGAAGGACATGGACCTGTTGGAACAAGTCCAGAGGAAAGACACCAAGATGATTAGAGGGGTGCAGCACCTCCCCTGCAAGGAAAGACTATGAGATTTGGGATTGTTGAGCCTAGAAAAGGTTTTGGGGTGACCTAATTGTGACTTTCCATTAGCTGAAGGGAGCCCACAAGAAAAATGGAGAAAGACCTTTTACAAGAACATGTAGTGTCAGCAAAAGGGAGAATGGATCCAAAGGGAAAGATAGTAGGTTTGAATTAGATATCAGGAAGAAGTTCTTTACTCTGAGGGTGGTGAGGCACAGGAACAGGTTCCCCAGAGGAACTGTGGCTGCCCCAAACTTGAAATGTTTAAGGACAGGTTAGATGAGCCTCTGAGCACCTATTTGAATCCTTGCTCAAGATAGCATTTTTAGAAAAACATCTGAATATAATTTCTGTCTCTACTTCTGTGCAACATAGCTTAAAACTAAATGCTGTTTACTACACACAGTACTTCTGGAGATACAGGAAGACATATGAAATACAATGAGTCCTCATAGGAAGGAATTCTAGCTGCTGACTGAAGTGCTTAACAAATTTTCATAAAAAACTTTGTCACCTGTTTTATCCCCTGAATATAAAGAAAACCCCAGGATATAAGAAAGGATGTTCACATTCTTCATGGATCCCTGGATTTGGATACCCATTACTTATGTGATAATATCCATGCCCTAGAACGCTCCAACCTTAATAAACCTTTGTGTCACAGTTACATAGGAATTTAATAAAGACAAATAGGTACTGAAAAACTCTCCATTCCCCAAACACTTTAATCAAAATGCCTGAAAATTGCTGCATATTTCCTTCTATCAGCCTAAGCACATTTAAGAGGATGAAATCTTGCTATACAAAGAAATAAACTGAGAAGAATAGCCATGGTTTTACCCGCTGGAAATATTTACATGTACTCTTACTGCAAAGGAAGTTGTCCAAGGCACAACTGACCTGCAATAGGATATTCTTCACCCTGGGATCACGGGGAAAGAGAACTGCAAAGGGACTGCCTAAGAATACAAGTTTCCCAGTCTATCCCTGCAGCACATGAGTCATCCATATCTATGATGAGAGACATATGGAGCTGTCCAAAGAAGCTGGACGGGCACAGACCTGGCCCTGCCACATGCTGCTTACGGGTGCTCTGGATTTCAGCTCCTCACATTTTCCAGGACAATTAACATTTCTGCGACATGTCCTAAGCTTTCACAAGATGACACTGGGAAATGAGTGGGAATAGTGCCACATCAAGACAACACACATTGCAAGCTTGCCACTAACAGGCAACACCATGCTCAGTTGTGGCAGAGACCATGGAAAGTGACACAGGAAGATTCCAAAGTTCCCATTTCTGCTGCTCCTTTATCCAAACTGACACTTACAGAGGTGCAGAACCATTAGACTTGAATTCTAGAGACAGACTTTGATTTGTATGTATGTATGTATGTAATGCATGACTAAGTTCTAGTGCCACCCAAACCACTCAAGCAAAAGATTATCAATAGAAGTTCAAGAAGCAGACTAATGTCTTCTTAATCTGCTGTAAAAAGTCAGTGTTTATTTAGAACTAGTGATTTAGATTTGGTTTATATATCAAGGAGCTTAAGAAACTATGTCAACAAAGAGATATTTTTTCTCTTTTTTTTTTTTCTAATCATTTGTGAGATTCTGAAAAAACTTAAAAAGAAACTGTGCAAGAAAACACACAGAACAATAGAAAAAATAGGAGGAGCAGATAATAGCACAAATGTTAGCTTGGAGAAAAAAAGCAAAAAAATTTAAAGATAACACAACTGCTGATCTGATGTTTAATAGATTGTTAAGATTCTTCTTCTAAAGGAACTCAGAGACTGCAAGTGCAAGCCTCTGTCAGCTGTATAGCAAAAAGTGGTTAAAAAATGACTTACATGGCAGTTTCTGAACTCTATTGAGAGAGAGAACTTCAGACCAGAACCCACAAGTTCATGTGGTTCATTGGCCAAGTAACAACTTTCTGAGTTCACAGCTTGTCATGCAGTTCCTGGTATATACATCAGTAAAGAGTGTTCCCAGGAATGAGATGCTGGCCATTATAAATGTGGATTTTGAGACATTATATTTGGCTACTCCTAAAACAGAAATTGTAGGAATAACTCATAAAGATTTGCACCTTCAAGCATGCAAAAAACTAAGGTTTTAAAATAGCTTTTAAAAATTGCTCTTATTACATTAAATACATACAAGTATTTATATATGTTCCTTGCTCTGCTGAACTCATCTTTGTTAACAGCTATGCCATATACATTAAATCAGAATAGAAATATTGCAAACATGCCTGACATTAAATTGATTTTAATTTTGCACTTTTAAGATTGAATAGTGTTAACTATGACATTATATTCTTTGTATTGTACATAAAAGTGGGAAAAATGAAATTATTCCTGGCTGACAGCTCTCATGGGCTACAAGAGACTCAACAAAGTGTGGTGGTTACTTTGTTTATAGGCATACATAAAAACACAATCTTTTGCCCGATTTTGGCTGGTCTTATCTTCAAATAATAGTAGTAACTAAACACCATGAAAATCCTGATTAAGTACTTTTTTATCAATTGTTATTCACATGCTGTTTTGCTTGACACCATCCTCTTCCTGTACTCACTACAGAAGCCCAAAGTTCACCTGGAAGCATAAAAATAATTTTTACTAACAACAAGACAAAAATTCTACCTTGAAGCTCTATGCTGATGATATTTTCCATTATTTTATCCAA